ATGTCAAAACTTTAAAATTGTACACTTTAAATATATGCAGTTTATTTGTCAATTATACCTCAATAAAGCTGTTTGAAAGACAATCCAACAATATTAAAGAAAAATTATAAGAACAAAAAAATCACTCACAATCCTACCACCCTACCATAGTTACCGTGTTTCACAGATTCAAAGATATAAACTTTTCCAAATTTTAACGTCTCTAGGAAATGTTGTATAACAAGACTATTTCATATAAGCGGTATTATACAATAGTCTTTTGTGTCTGCCTTCTTTCACTTCACATAATGTTTTTGAGGTTCATCCATGTGTAACATGTATCAGTGGTTTATTCCTTTTTTAAAAAAACACCTTTATTGGGATATAATTCATATCCCATACAATTTATCCACTTAATGTACACAATTCAATGATTTGGGGATATGACATCATTAGTAGTTCATTTCTTTTCATTGCTAAATAATATTCCCTTGTATAAATATAGTGCATTTCGTTTATCCATTATAGACATTTGCATTGTTGTGAGTTTTTGGCTATTATATATAGCGCTGCTATAAACATGTACGTACACGTCTTTGTGTGAATGCAGGTTTTCATTTCTCTTGGGTAGATTCCTAGGAATGATTTGCTGGGTTGTATGGTAACTTTATATTTACCACAGATTTTCAATATAGTTGTCTTATCAAGTATTGAGAGTAGAATATTAAAATTTCTAAATATTATTGTCAGATTATCTATTTCTCCTTCCAATTCTGTTGGTTCCTCCTTCAAGTATTATGAGGTTATCGTATTGTTAGGTGTGTATACATTTGTAATTTCTCTATCATCCTGATAGATTGACACTTTAATCATGACATGCCACTCTGTCTTCCATAATATGTGTTTCTTGTCTTAAATTCTATTTTATCTGATATTAATGCAGTCACTCAGCTCTGTTATGTTTTCTGTTTGCATAGTATATCTTTTCTTTCTACTTTAACCTATTTGTGCCTCTTTTTTTCTTTTTTAGCTTATGAAAAACAGAAATTTATTTCTCACAGTACTAGAGACTGGGAAATACTATTTGTGTCTTTGAATCTAAGTTACGTCTTTGTCAGTATATAGTTGAATTTTTAATTTTATTTATTTATTTAGAGACAGGGTCTCACTCTGTTGCCCAGGCTGGAGTGCAGTGATGCAATCATAATTCACTGCAGTCTCCTGGGCTCAAGTGTTCTTCCAGCCTCAGTCTCCTGAATAGGTAGGGATACAGGCGCACACAACTACACATAGCTTTTTTTTTTTTTTTTTAATAGAGACTGTGTTGCCCAGACTGGTCCTGAACTCCTGGCCTCAAGTGATCCTCCCAGCTCAGACTCCCAAAGCACTGGGACTGTAGGCTTGAGCCACCTTGCCCAGCCTATACTTGAATCTTGATTTTTTTATCCAGTCTCATAATCTCTGAACTTTCACTGGTATGTATAGACTGCTCACATATAATGTTGAAATACTTAGATTTATGTTTTCCATGTTACTTGTTTTCTACATGCCTTCTGTTCCTCTTTTAACCACCTTCTTTTATGTTAAATAAATATTTGCAATGTCTCATTTAAATCCTTTGCTGATACACACACACATACATAATGTATATATGTATGCATGTACACGATTTTCTTAGTGGTTGTTTTAGGGATTGCAATATGTATCCTAACTAATCACAATCTATTTCACACTAATACTAACTTAATTCTGGTAAAATATAGAAACTTTGCTCTACTATAGCTCTATTCTATCCCCTTTCCTTTATGGTATTAGCATATAAATTAAATCTATATATGTTATGAACCCAACAATATCATTAATGCTTTATTCAATCACGTCTTTCAAAGAAGAGCAAAAATGAGAAAAATATATTTCTACACTATTTTATATGAACTTATATTTAACTGTTTCTAGTGTTCTTCATTTCTTCTTGTGGATTCAAGTTAGCAATTGGTGTCATTTCCTTTCAAGCTGAAGGACTCCCTTTAGTATTTCCTATAAGGCAGGTTTGCTAGCAACAAATTCTTTTAGCATTTGTTCATCTGGGGATGTCTTTATTTTGCTTTTGGTTTTGGTTGGTAGTTTGTTTATTTGTTTGTTTTCATTCAGACCTTCAGATATGTTATTCTACCGCCTCTGGCTTCCACTGTTTCAAATGAAAAATCAGCCATTAGGCCATATTGACTGTCTGTAATTGATGAATTGTTTTTCTGTTGTTGTATTCACAATTTTCTCTTTGTATTTCTCTTTCAACTACATGACTATAAAATGTGTATATTGTGGGTCTCTGTGTGCTTATCCTACCCGGGATTTTCTGAACTCTAGATCTGTGGATTAACGTTTTCATAAAACATGGGACGTTTTCAGACATTTCTTCATACATCTTTCTATCTTCTCTCCTAGGACTCTCATTACAAGTATATTGGCTGCCCTCCACAAAGATTGCCATTTCAACTGACAACATTGCTGGGCATGGGTCCTTCAACCACTGCTCTAAATTGTGAGAGTCTTCTCTGACTGTGGCAGCAAAGTTCCTGGTCCTCATTGCCCATCCTGCTCTAGAAGAATCACTGCACTAATTGAGCTAAAGGTAAGAGTAGGGAATGCAAAGCAGCCTCAGGCTGCTCAAACTCCTTAACTTTTAATGCCTTTTAGTACTTCTCAGTTTGTCAATTCCTTTGGTAGATTTCAGGAGTGCTACATGGCTTTTTGTCAATTTGTCCAGCTTTATAGTTGCCTTTTGGGGGAGGTGATTTGCCAACCTACTCACTTGGTCATAGTCAGAAATATTTCCTCTCCAACATTTTCTATATATTTAAAAAATTGTGAAAAAAATGTGAATATTTATTCTGATTTTTCATTTAAC